CTTTCAGGGGCTTTAATTTACTTCTCTGTAAAATTATGGTGACAGAAGTGAAAGGCTTAATGAGATAAGTGATCTGATATTGCTTAGTAAACCATTACAGTTCACAATATGTGTAGTACAATGGTTCAAAAGAAGACATAGCCTGGAATCTAGGAAACGCCATAATTTCCTACAACCCATAATATGAGATATAGAGGGCTTAGAGTTCTAAGTTACTCACAAAAAAATGAAAGTGAGAGAGGACTAGAATGCTAAAACACCTAAAAGTTTATTTAAAGGATTTATAAGGTCCTTCAAGTAATCAAGTTAGAGGTAGGTGAAGAGTCCGGACTTACTACAAAGTTATAGTAATTAAGAATGTATAGTATTAGCAAAAGAAAAGAAAATAGATTAATGGAACAGAATAGAGAGCCCAGAAATCCACCCACATTTATACAGTCCATTTATCTTTGGCAAAAGAGCAAAAGCAATACAAAGAAGAAAATGCCTTTGTCACAAATGGAGCCGAAACAAGGAAGAGTTCACATTCAAATAAATAAATCTAGACATAGACTTTACACTCTTCACAAAAATTTACTCAAAATGAATCACAGACCCAAATGTAAAATGCAAGACTATAAAACTCCTCAAAGGAAACACAGGAAAAATGTCTATATGACTTTGGGTTTGGTGATGGCTTTTTAGACACAATGTCAGAGACATGATAAATGAAAGAATTAATAAGCTGGACTTCCTTAAAATTAGAATTTCAACTCTGCAAAAGACGTTGTGAACACTGTGAGAAGATAAGCCACAGACTGGGAAAAAGCATTTGCAAAAGACATATCGATAAAGGATTATTATAAAAATATATAAAGAACACTTAAAATTCAATAACAAGAAAACAAACAACCCAATTTAAAAAATGGGCCAAAGATCTTAATAGATACCTCACCAAAGAAAATATACAGATGGCAAACAAGCATATGAAAAGATGATCCACATTATATATCATCAGAGAAATGCAAATTAAAATGATGAGTTACCACTACGTACCTATTAGAATGACCAAAATCCAGAATACTGACAACACCAAATATTGGTGAGATTGCACAGCAACAGAAATTCTTATTCACTGTAGGTGTGGGATGCAAAAAATGGCACAACAACATTGGAAGTGAGTTTGGTGGTTTCTTAAAAACTACACATATTCTTATCCCATGATCTCGCAATCACACTCTTGGATATTTACCCAAAGGAACTAAAAACGTATGTCCACACAGAAACATGCACATTAAAGTTTACAGTAGCTTTATTCATTATTGCCAAAATCTGGAAGCAACCAAGATGTCCTTCAATAGGTGAATAGATTAAAAAACTGTGGTACATCCAGACAAGGGAATATTATTTACCACTATAAAAAGATGAACTATCAAGCCATGAAAAGACACAAAGGAAACTTAAATTCATATTACTAAGTGAAAGAAGCCCATCTGAAAATGCTACACATTGCATGAGTCCAACTCTATTACATTCTAGAAAAGGCAGAATTACAGAGACAGTAAAAAAGAAAATCAGTGGTTGTCTGGGGTTAGTGGGAAAGGAAGGTCACAAATAGGCAGAGCACAGAGGATTTTTAGGGCAATGAACTATTCTGCATGATACAATAATGGTGGGTACAGGTCATTACACATTTGTACAAACCCATAGAATGTATAGCATCAAATGTGAACCCTGATGTAAAGTATGAACTTTAGGATATAATGATATGTCAATTAATGTAAGTTTATCAATTGTAAAAATTTGTACAACTCTGGCACGGGATGTTGATAATGGGGGAGGCTATACATGCATGAAGACAAATGATATATGAAAACTCTCTATATATTCCTCTCAATTTTGCTGTGAACCTAAATCTGCCCTACAGAAAAATAGTCTTTAAAAAAATTTTAAGAGAAAAACAAATGGACAGGAAGCTAAAATGACTTAAGTAACAAGCAAGGACAAGTTTCCAAAGAAGTAAAACAAAGGATGTCTAGGTGTGACACAACAATGGCACAGGTATAAAATATTATTTAAGCAAAACTCTCCCTGTCATATAGCTTCATCAATACCCAAATGTATAGTAAAATAATCCTTTGATATTAAATTAAAAGTTTATATATTAACTACATACTCTATGGCTACAAAATGCAAAGTCATCTATAGAAGAATTACTATCCTTTCTGAATTTCTCTGAAAAAAAAAAAAAGTCATAGGTAACAGCTATAGAAAATACATCATTAAGGGATATATTCACTTTTTTAAAGGACCTCTTAGGTGAAAAGAATTTGGGGCTTCTAATTTTAGGCACAAGGAAGCAGCTAGCCCAAGCACTTTGCATAGATTTTCTCATTTGATTCTCAAAACGAAACAATGTGGTAGGTAGAGTCATCCCTATTTTACAGATAAGAAATCTGAAGTAAAGAAGGGTAATATAGCGAAAGTCAGACCACTAGTGACTGACAGAATGCAAATCCTCTGTAATACAAGCTCATGCTATCTCAGTCACTTGGTTGCTCTCCAGTAGAACCAGAATACTTGGACATGATTACAGTTTAGAACAAATTGAGTCATGAATACGCTGGTTTCCTGATCCTCCTCCATTTCTGACCTTTCACTCTCCCTCTCCCTAATCTATCTTTGACCCTTACCACACCCTTGGTCCTTATCTCACCCTCACTAAAGTACTAATCCTATCCCTCAACCTCTCTCCTATCACCTGCAGAAGTGGAACTATCAATTGGAAGAAATTCAGAGATAAAACAATGAAATTACCTGTTTCAACAATGCTTGGCAATTTTTTACAAAGCTAAAAGTATAATAATTGCTTGGCAA